AATAAAAAAGAGAAAGTCTTGGAAATAATTTCATCTTTATTCTAAGATTCTGCTCTGCCTCACTTATTCTGCTTCCACTGGCTTTATTTCTGAGTTCTGCTTTCAGCACACACCTACTTGTCCCACTATTCACAGACCTTGATCAGAATCCTATCTGAACAATCTGAACCCCTGTGCCCCACTCTGAATTATTAAATTTTCCTACTACTAAACTGTTTAATCAATTTTGCCCACATGTAGCTCTGTCCAGGGTAATCTGGCACTGTTAATGACAAGCCATGCTTAGGGTCATTTTATAGTTATCCTAAGAAAGGTATTCAATTAAAGAGAAAGAAAAGATGATTTCAAATGCTAAGGACTTGAGTTTAGAAGAAGTATTACTAAACAATTATAACATTGGATCATTACTCTCAAGAATTGATAGTATTTAATGAATTTTAATTCATTCACTGACCAGAAGTTACTGATTTGGAAGCAAGTGATGGTGAAGACTTGCACAATAAAATAATGATAATGGCTAAGCATTTAACCCAATACCCAGTTTCAATAGTATGCTTGATTATTCAACAGTTAAATTTATATCATTCATAAAAAATAAAAATTAAAATTAATTCAACAGACTATAAGATCTACCAGATTTAAGAAAACTGAGCTAAACATGGGAATATCTTAAATGCTTACTTTAATTAAGAGTGAAAATGAGAATAGATCACTAAAAAAATTAAGAAATAGAAATATACACCATTGGGTTATTTATAATGAGTTATTTTTGGAGAGATAAACAAATGAAACTGGGATTTGCTTTATAAAGACTAGAGAATTACTTACAATAATGTTGAAAATGCTGAACTCTAAATAAGCTGAACAAAACAATCGAGCACGTTTTAACCAGATGCCTACCTTGATTATTTTTATGAAAAGCTATTCTGCTGCCCAATTTTTATGTGCAATTTTATTTTACATTTGTGCACAAGAGAGAAACAGAAATGAGAGAAAGTTCAACATTAACCATATTTAGCATTCCCTCAGGGCATAACATATTCACCAGTTCAGTCACAAATTGTTCCAGAGAAAACTGGATGAAATCATTGTGGTTGTTAAGCATGTCATTTTGCATTGAGAGCTAATATGAGAGATGATAAAGTCCATAAGGATATTATCCCTAAATTCTGAAAGAAAACGCTATACCAAAACAAAACAAAACAAAAAACCTAGAACACAAAGTCAATAGCATCAGAAGCATGAAATAAATCAAAGGAATATATATACCTCACTAAAAAATTAAATATCCAATTAGTGGTTACCAGTAAGGAAGAAGGATTCAGTAAATTAGGTGAAGGGGGTCAATTGTTCAGTGAAAGACAAAAAGGGTTTTGATGATATACTTAATGTGTATATATATGTGCTAATTTTTAATGATGTACAGCAATGCAAATTCATGTAATGTCATAATGCAACGTTAGTTCAATAAAAAATAATAAAAATAACTAAATATCCCAAACACCTAGTTTGTAAGTACAGCTGAATTTCAAAATATTTATGAGATGCACTCCTTATGTTACCAGAAAATATTACTTGCAATAGTCTCTCTTCAAACTATAAAAAAATATATATATATCAATCACGAAATTATTGAATCAGACACCTGTATTGACTATTAATATGAGCAGGACAGCTTTACTGACCTTTTCTGCTGTTTTATAATCCCTTTGATCAGAAGCAGACAACTTCGCTTAGAGTGAATTTCCTACTTTTGCTCTCTTGACAAGCAGATGCCAAAGTCTTGCTGACTCAAAAATGATAAATGACATTGCCAAACCCACTTCAGACTTAGTACTGACTTCTTGATCCCCGCAAACACCGCTTTGTGGATGACTATGAATTTTATGAGATTCTCAGCAAATTTCTTTGTTCTCAGAAAGGTATCAGCTAACTGTGCTTTTAATACCTTAGTAAAAACAGAAGTTTGATAAACTGATAAACATAACCAAGAGAAGACTTGTCTTTGTGTTATGGAACATGAAATGTGATTTTTTTTCTAAGACTGATTATTGAGGAATAACATACGTAATACAATGTGTACTATTGTAAATGAAGTTTGTCAACTTAGAAACAAGAAAGATACCAACATTCCCCAAAAATTAGTAATTACAAAGTTAAGGCAAGGAATGATATGGCCAGTGATAGAATAACTTGAAACATATTCTTGTTCAAAGATAATCAGAAACCTAAAAACTAAGGTAATATATCTAAAGGACTCAGAAGATATCTTGAAAGATTTTCTTCCAGTCAAATTTGGAATAATTTCAGCATCAAAAGAAATGACAATATGAACAAATGATAACTTGTTCAATAAAACAGTAAACAATGACTGTATATAGATATAAGCACACAAATAGAAAGAAATGAGAGCTATCCCTTATAGTAATACTACAGTGCTAACAAAAAGTAGAATAAAATTTAAAATTACAAAATCACCATTTGATAGCACCTGTAGTCACAATTATTGTAGCCAGTAAACATTAACAGATGCTAAAAGTAGTATATAAACAATTGATGGGAGATGAGAACCATTGTTTGAAAGCATTTTCCAGAAAATAATTATTAATTATTAATTTTAAAAGTCTGCTGTCATAATGAAAAAACTTAGCAAATATCCCTCAGTTTTGTGTTCAAATTTTACATTACAAGTACTGGGACAAATAAAAATTATGTGGCATTTCACCAGATCCATAATCAAGAATATCACATCACTTCTATGGTTTATTGCAATACATAATCTGATTCTAATCTGAGAGGAAATAGGCAAATTTAAATTTGAAAGAAATTCTGAAAAATAACTGACTCTAGCCTTTTTTTTCCACAAAAGTGAATGAAATACTGAAGAATTGTTTCAAACTGAAGAAAATACACAACTAAATGCAACATGTGATCTTCAAGTGGATTGTATTAATATAAAAGAAACTATTAGAAAAAGTTGAACTAGGGCCTGTGTATTTGATGGTAATAATGTTCCTGGATAATTGTGCTGTATTATGCAGGAAAATATCCTTGGTTGTAGGAAGTACACTGCAACTTCAAATATTTCAGGGGGAACTAAGTTTTCAGTACTGTATTTACAATTTCCCTGAGTTTGAATTATTTCAAATAAAATAATTGAAACAGGGAGGGAGAACTAATATTTAATGGGTTTAGAGTTTTAGCTTTGGAAGATGAAAAAGTTCTAGAGCTCTGTTGTACAACAACGTAAGTATACCCTATACTTTTTAACTACACATTTAACAATGGCTAAGATGGTAAATTTAATGTTCTGTATTTTTTGCCACAATTTTAAAAAAAAAGGAAAAAAATGGATTAATGAATGAAAAAAAGAGTAGTATTGTTTAGGAAATACATCCTCAATCTTGAAGAATGTAGTTTTTAGAGAATACAGATGCCTATATCCCAACAGTCAACAGTATATATTACATTCAGTATATCTGGATTATGGTTTGGAATTTTTCACATGTGGCCAGGGATGTGAGAAGGCTGACCCCATAAACTACTTGTAATTGAGCAACAAAATCTATACTAGAGGGCCTCCCCAGTGGCACAGTAGGTTAAGCGCAGTGCTGGGAAGTTGTCTGCAGCCTCTACAGCACGGGTTTGATTCCTGGCCAGCCAGGGAGATACCCACATGGTGCGGAAGACCTCTCCTGTCTTGCCTGCTGCTCCCTTCAGCAGTGTTTTTGGTCATCTGCCTGTTCTGCTCCCTGCTCTGTCTCTGGTGAATTTTCTCACCCTCCCACATCTCTGGCCTGTACCCCAGTTCTTGTATAAATAAATAAATCTTTTTTTAAAAAAAAAGCTACAGTAGAGTAGAAAAAACACTGGGAGGAGTTCCACTTACTAGTTTTATGACCCACTGGGGCAAATCAATCCAATATGCTCATCTTTAAAACCCTCATCTCTAAAATGGGGATAAAATTCCTGCCTTATAATATTGTGGGGCTGCTCATAGGAGATAATGTAGATGAAAAGATTGCTGAGATATAAGGCAATATTATAATGCAAGAAATTATTAATTATTCTTAAGAGACTAATAAGATATATCATGTCACTGATGTGCAACACATGCTCCCATGAAACATTTCACAATCTCAGATGAAACACCTGAGTGAGTCTATGCTGTGCAGCACATAAATGTAGAAATTAGCAAGCAAATTACTGAGAAAAATCCTCATAAATTTTGTGAGTGTGAACTAAAGGAACTTGCGAACTTAAAAAGACTGATATTTCATCTCAGCAGGACTACTATTAGGAATTTTTGTGGGTTCTCACTAAGATGAAAAAATATTATAGCATATTAGGGCCTCCCATGGTGGCGCAGCAGTTGAGCGCTGGGCTGCGAAGCTGCCCGCAGCCTCTGCAGCGCCAGTTCAATCCCTGGTCCCCCGAGAGGGTCCCACATGGAGCGACAGACCTCTCCTGCCACACTCACTGCTCCCCTCAATAGTGTAGTTCATCAGTCTGCCTGGTCTGTTCCCCGCTCTGGCTCTGGTGAATTCTCTCACCCTCCGTGCTTCTGAGAGTACCCAATGAGAGTACCCAGTGCTTGTAAAAATAAATGAAGAAATAATCTTTAAAAAAAAAATTATAGCATATTATATGATAGAAAAGGTCTGGCCTCTCACAATGCTTAACCAAAATGGCGTACATATTGCTGGTGAGAAAGTGAATGTTGCAGTCCTAATACTGTCACTGACAGGATCCCACTTCACTGAACCCCTTCTTCGGAAACCTAACTCTGGTAGTAGAACTGAGGCCACAAATGGAGAGGACAGAAATGGCCGAGGGGACCTGGGGAGAACTGAGGGTGGCTTGGTGGGAATGGTGTGGTGACTTGCAACTGAGAAAGTGTGATCCCATGCCACTGAGTAATGTACTTGTTGTAAACCAAAGTTACCACAGTAAAAAACAAATTAATTAAACAAAAATACACCGGATGAGAAAAACTGCAATCAAATTCCAGCAACACCTTGGCAAAATTGGACATGACTCTTGCCTCTGAGTCTCAGGTTCCTAAACAATAAAATGATAATAATGGTAGTATAAACTTCATAATGTTTTAATGAATAAGCACAGAATAAATGCTTGATAAGTAGAACAATTACAATTTCTTATAAATGATGATATTCAGCAGTTTTCCTCTGTCTTTTCTGTAACAAGGGTTAATGCTCAAGACAGCAGCTAAGATTAGAAGTTATTTAAGAAGTTACTAATTTGACCTCAGGAAGTTACTAGACAGATGAATTTCACATAAAAAGTAAATAAACAGTCACTCCAGCTCAAGAGCTTGATTAACTTAGATTTACAGAAAATACTTGAACTGTGTCTTAAGAAATGTCAAATATGCACAAAGTACTTTATTGAATGTACTTTGCGAGGGGGAAGATGAGGAGTTGTTAAAACATGAAGATCCCATTCCCAGAAACCAAATGTATCTATCCAAACTACCTACTGTAGCCACTGGTTTTTAAGTACTTGCTACTTATAAATCTATTCACTTTCAAGATAAAAAATAATAATCCTTTCAGAAACTTCTTTTATAATCTTTTGTAAAAATGTATGCTATCTATTTTACCTCTATAAAATTCAAGAAATATGTTATAATTCAAATATGAAAATCTCCCCTCCTATTGTATAAAGTCAATTGGCTTGAAAATATGTAAGTTTTGTAGAACACTTGAGAAGTTCTTATTTCCTTACTTCTATTCAAAATAATGGTCTCCAATATTAAAATCATTTCTACAGATTAAAAAAAATGGGGATTACTCAAATTTTTATTTGCATACATAAATGGAAGTGCAGAGATATAATAGACATGAATAAATGAAGAATCATCAGGCTAGTATTTCAAAATGAATCACATAAATAACATTGGAATAGTTCTACAGATTAGTCCATTAAAACTCTCAAGGAGTTTTCAGAAGTCAAATTACAAATGCTATTTAAACTGTAGTATTATTTTGAGTTTTGTTATATTACCACATTCATTCGGAGTCCACAAGGGTTTTGAATTTTCACTGGAATTGTTATTCTTTTAAACACGTTGGTGAACAGATAGTTAAAATATTTTATAAGTACTCATGTGAAAATGCGAAACATTTCTACTTTTCATTCCTTCATTGTTTAAAAAAAAATTTCTGTTCTTCCTCACTTTATTTCTATGACAAAATGACAGGTACAGAAATGACTACAGGAAAAAATACATGCTGATTAGGAAGATTTCCATGCATTTTAGGTTTCAAAAAAAAAAAGTGATTAGATTCCTTTTGTTCCTTTACAATAGTCTGTTGATTTTCCTAAATACTGCAAAGGAATTTAGAGAAAAAAAAAAAGAAAATCCTAACAACTGATTGGTAAAGTATGCAGTCAATATATTATACTACTTGGTAAGCACAGTATTTTTATTATGGTAAAAGAATGATGTTGAGAAAGGTTGATGAGTTGGGGGAAAAAATGAACCTCTTGGTTTGATTGATCTTGGTTGTATAATAATTTAGAGCAGTTACCACCAAGGTTTGCATACACTATTTTGGCATTTTGGAGTAATTATCACTGTAAAACTTTCACTAGTACACCTTATTTCCACAGGTAATTAAGGTGACCTAGTTATGTCTGCATAAGTCTTATTCTGTGAATAATTCAGACCCAGGAGAGACTAACAGGTCACTAACAGCAATCAATCCAACTGATGGAAAAGAGGAAGAATTTTGTAGATGATATTTGCTTCTAAACTAATATAAGGTTGTTTTTAAGATGCATTATGTCATCATTAATACCTAAGAACATTGAAATCATTTCCTTTGAACTATTCTTGGTTTCATTTCAAGCTTCTTTTAAAATTTGATGTATTGAGTATTGTAGCTCCTTATCACTAATATAAAGAAAATTGGGATTCATTTTTCAAAATAAACTTCAATCTTACTGATTTTCAAAAACATGTTTAAAGAATTTCTATTTCCATAGGACTAACAAATTGTTAGCTGGTGCTCTCATGTCTAAGGATTTTTGTTTATAGCCAAGGACTTACAAATTCTGTGCCATAATAAGTATTACTTGCCCCCAAACCATTCCCTCCTTCCTACTGACAGCCTTAAATACACAAACCCACCTCCTCCATCAACACAAAGGCAAAATATCCTGGCAGCTGATTAATCTCACTGAAATAGGTAGAGAATCTGGTTTCTTGTACCAACCCACAATATGCACTTCTGTGCTTTTTCTCCCACAATTTGCTGCAAAAAAATCAATGCTTTATATTCACCAGACCAAGAACACAATCTTGTTCAATATAAAAAGGTCACAAGTATGTTTATTTAAAGCCTGCTTGTGGTCAATTAATGGAAAAAATGTTTCAGGAAAAAAAACTAACAGAAATATAAAATAGTTCAAATACATAGATTTAAATGCAGAATTTCTTTCTACCTCATGGTACTATGGCTGGGGAAAAATGGGTAATATAATTCACATTTTACTTACAAATGACTTTTTCATTACAACTTTTGGGAAATATTAACAAGTCAAATTCAGTTGTTTGAATGATATTGTCTATGTTCCTAGATATCAAAATTCCAATAACTCAAAATGAAACATATATAAAAAATAAGTGCTATTTAAATATACAAAACAATTGGCATTCACTCTTGAGTCACTATTCAATTAATGAGTGACTTATTACCATACCATAAATGGAAATGATACTTGGATAGAAGCTCCGGTTGCATGAGGGTGAATGCCATGTGCATTTTCCTGGAGCCCTGAATAAGTGACTCACTCGTGTCATTACATTTGAGGTGAAGCAGAAGACTCTGTCAGATTCGATTCACATGGGCAATCCCCAGTGGCAAAACATCTGATTAACCAGCAAAGCCACTGTTGTTAACAGCTGTATCACTGGAAGCTTGGAAGTATTCAGCCCATTTAGTAACAATGTATTATCATAATCACTGTCTCTCTGGCTCAGATCCAGTCTATATTAACTATTATCCAAATAAATAGCTATTAAAATGGTGAGGTATAAATGAAATGATATATGTATAATATACATTCAACACGATAGCACACATGTTAAGTTTGACTACAATAAAACATTAATACATACAGGGGCAGTAATTTCAAAATAAGCATTAGATGCTTCATTTGCAAGCTTGCTGTGTTGGGTTACAAAAATCTCCTAAATATCTGTAATAAGTCTTTGCATTAGAGTCTATTATTAGTTTTATTATCTTAATAAAGTATATGTCCCATCTTGTGGATGCACATATGTTCACTGAAGTGACTTACTGAGGTGCCAGCAGAGTGTGTCTTTTGCTTATTTATAACCATTTTAATGAGACAAGTTTCTAAGTCTCTCATATATTTATAAACCATGATCACAAAAAACATAAAGATGTTAAATGACTCAAAACATCCAATCTTGATAAAATCTTACCAATTTGGTAACAGCATCCATTTAAAATCACTACAAAAAAAATTGCCAAGCATAAATATGGTGCTTGCAGGGAAATAAATCTCCTAGTTATAAAATGCAAAGTTGCTTTAAAATCTAAAATATGATTATTTTACATACAAGAAAATAAGGAAATAATTTAACTAGATTTTACTTTTTAGCAAAATTTATTTCACTACTTGGTCAAGCAGGAAATCCATTTTTTAATCTAACTTTAAATATCACTTATTATATCTTGTCCAATATCTTATTTTCTTTATGCATTAACCTGTCAAAACCTTCCATTAGCCTCTGGAACAAACTTTTAATAAAGACAATATTTATGGGGCTTTAATTTACTTTGCTATAAGTTGCACAGGTGTGAAAAAATAAAAATATAATGAATTATAAAGACATTCTGTTTTAATGGCATAAAATAATTTAATGAAATTTTCCAACTATACATCTAATTCCTAAGTTTCAGGGCAGCATGAGATGAAAACTGCAAGGAAAAAAATCACATAGATGTGCTTGGAGGTCTTAATGATTTGAGCAAAATGAAATAAAGATGTTCAAAAGAGTAGCACTACTGTGGTATGTTAATACTAGTAGTATATGCCGCCTAAATTCAAAGCAAGGTATCTAAATACAGACTGCAACTACCTGAGGAAGCAGAATGTGCCATGTGTATATGGTACAGGCAGGTAAACATTATAATAATGAATAATTTGTTTAGTGGTTTCAAAATTAAATATTCCATAGCAATCTTCACTTATGCATCTGTTAGTGTCTTGTATTTTCTCCAAACTCAGGTTTTTGAGGAATTGCAGCAATAAAAATATTAACCTTATAATATCACTTTAAAAGAGTGTACTTTAAAAGCAACAAAATGAAGATATAGCATTAGTAATTAGTAAAAAATGATCACAACTCAATTAATGTTATATTTTAGTGTTTGCATTTCTAGGAAAAGTGTTCTCCTGATTAAATGTACAGAATGCTCTTCAAAACTGCTCAGAGTCCTCCAAAGGACAGACTAATTACCAACTGTTAATATTAAGAATACACTTGGGGCAGAAAAATAGGCCTTCAATTTACAGTAATAATTTTAGAATGGAGTTATTCCAGCAGTAAATTGTCACAGCTGCTCAAAGTGTGATGACACCCATGAAAAGAAAATAAATACAGTTTTAACTTCCCAGCAGATCTTGAGACACTTTGCCAAGAAACCTAAAGGATTTAGTATAATTTCACAAATTATAAAGTGGGATTTATACCTTATGTTTTCATAGGGGTTTAGAGTTACACTGTGTTTTTACATATGATGAGATCTTATTCTTCATTTATTAAGACAGAGGAATTCTTCTGTCTACAAACCTGTTTAAACTCAATCTGGTCATCCCAATATAGGAAGACTTACTTCTCCATAAAGAACCATGTAAAGAACCATTGTCATTTCACAACTTGCCACATGTGCTCATGTACAATGAAGTAATTTCCACTGACTCAGCAACTTAGATTTATGCTTGTGTCATCACTTTGTGTTCTTAACAGACCCTATGACACAGATGTTGACATCTTTTCTCTAGTCTGAGAATGAATTGAGTGTGAATCTTCTTTTTAAGTAGTACTTATAATTTTACTTATCATATTTGGTTATTTTTGGTTGCAATATTAAATTTTATTAGAAGTTTTCCCTCCTCTTTTTTCTTATGACTCAAAACTCTGTTTTTTACTGTTGCCTCTTATTTTTATTCAGTGACTACATGATTCTCATATACCATCATTGACTGAAAATATAATAAACAGGTAGAGCCTGTAGAAACTGAAATAAATTTATGCATGAAACTTACTTTCTAAATCACTGTGCAGTATAAGGAAATAAAACTCTTGGAATTTGTAATTTAATTTAATCTCTGTGTAACATAATTTGTGAATGTTAACCACTATTAGGGGTAACTGCTAAGATACCACCATAATACATAGAAATTATATATATATATGTAAATACATATTATATTAGATATACAGATGTATATATGTGTATATGTATATATGTTGGGCATTGATCAGAAAAAGGTAGTATTACAAAGTTATCTACTTATGACTGTTTTTAGGTTCTTCCTTCTTGACTCTTTTAATAAATATCCAGATTCTTCATATTTTTGCAGCTTTAATATCCCTCTTATGAAGGTGCATCCACCCATCAATACATGACTCTCTTTCCTTTAACCTGAAAAAATGCTCATATTTTAACTATTATCTTCCACAGGTGAAGGGAGCCAAGGTAAACCAAAAATTCAATTAGGAGATATGTTCCAATGGAAATAAGAGTAGATTTAATCCCATTAATCTACTTTATTGTTATTAATATCCTGTTAAATTGATTATTCACTCATATTTGTGTTTCATTTTATTTGCTAAGTATCTGAATGAGTATTTCCAATTCTACAGTTTTCTATAGTATCTAGTGAAACATAATGTGCTTCCCAAAAGAGTTTTCTACTTTTCCTACATTCATTTATACTTTATGCAAAGGACAGTGGCAATGCCTCTCTTGGCCACCACTCACCAAACTGCGAAGAGAAAGACTCGGCAAAGAATCAGATGGTCATCAAGGCCAGAGAAGGTGCTATAACTAGAAATCGACTTCAAGGATAACAATTTAAGTATGAAATCTCACAAAGGCACAAGTCACTAATTGCTTAAGTGTCTTACAAAACAATATTGTGTTAATCTAGAGTCTCAGTGATACCCTTCTGTAATGACTGAAGAAATCTCTCCTATATTACTCATGGGTCTTAACCAAAAGAAAAATTGCAGCAAAGTCCCAGTTGTAGTCAGGAAACAAATGTCCTTTGTAGTACCTCTGTTAACTATAATGATAACCATTAAACTCTAGGAGAAGGGAAATGTGTATTATGCCAGTCTATTTTTTCATTGGCATTTTTATAGAAAAGTAATCTGTAATTATTTTATAATTGGCATTTTATAGAAAGAATCAATCTGAATTGATTTCACTGCTATTTGGTAGCTTTATTCTCAACTGCTTTCTCTTTATTGACAGTTACTTGTTCAACACACCTCTAAACTGGACTGGCAGTGCAGTAACCATAACAAATTAAATATCCTCTCTTCCTATCTTCCCAAATGGAAGTTAAAGGGAACACAGAAATATGCTTGATGTGTTTACATGCCCACACAAGCTAACAGAAGTAATTTAAATATCCTGCTACTAAAGTTCTAATACAGTGGGGAAAAATGTTCCAGTGACACTGGAAAACTAAGGTAGGAACCTCAATTGTGCCAGATATGTACTGTATGAATTTCCAACTCTGCCATCTACTTCACAGGTTTGTTGGGAGGAATAATTGAGATTCAAATTTGGGAACATTACAGACTCATTAAACATTAGTTTCATTCTGGGTTTGTTGGTTTTTTTTTTTTTTTTAGAATCTTTTTTATTCAGAAAAAAAAAAATTTTTTTTCCAGCCACACATAGGAAGGGAATGGGTAGGCCGAGGCTTGGCCATCTAGTCCCAGCTGCAACCTTTGTGGTTTTGGCTGCAATGAGGGGTGCTGGGCAATGGCCCCAAAATAAAAATGGTGGGTGGGTGTGTGTATGGGAAGGTGGGGGTGGTGCAAAGCAGCAGAGAGTGGTAGAGGGGAAGGCACAGAAGGCACAGTACTGGGCACGCCACAGGTGAGAGGCCATTTCATACCATTTCTTGTTGATCATACCACCGAGGACACCTTCTTTACCCATCAGCAGGACTAGCGTCTTGGCTGTCATGGTGACAGTGATATTGAAAGCGGGGCCTCCACCAGTGCTCTTGGTACGAAGATCCATGGTGAATTCCCCATCCTGCAGCAGTGAGTCTAGGATCACAAAACGTTTCTGGCCCCCAAGTGTCAGCCCATTCACGAAAAAACTTGACTGGTCTTTGCCAACCAGGACACCAACCTCAGCTGGTGTGATGCTCATACGATGGTTTTCCCCGGGTACGGCGGCCCAGACAGAGAGCAAGTCCTCATAGCCCACCGTGGCCACATCCTGACAGGTCCTGCCCGCCATGAGGTTGTTGCTACAGGTGTTCCACCTGGCCCTGAAACTGCTACTTGTGCTGCTCTCGGCGCTGCTGCTGGGGCTGCGAACTGGGCTCGGGCTGCCTCTGGTTGGCAGGCGCGGGGAGGCAGAGAGCTTGGGGCACGCGATGCCGTCTGGACCGTGGCTCTGCTAGCTGTGCAGCAGCCCTCCCACAGCCACTTTCTCTGTTGTTTTTTTTTTTTTTCCAAGTAATAATCACATACGCATCCTACTTTGTTACTCAAATCCACCCTGCGTGGTAAGATATAATTTCCATTCTATAGATGAAATGGAATCAGAATCTATCAGATCTTTTACTCTTCTGATTTTGGTATAGTGTTTGCCCCACTACATGAGCTCTCATTAGATTCATTAATCCATTTAATTAGTGAAACTCTTAGAGAACTTTCTAACAAACTGCATGAGCTAAGGCACAAACTTAACCAGTACAAAAGAATTAAGAATAAAGCAGGGCTGACTGTTCCATTGATTTAAAATGCTGTGACTTTTTGAGGAATATAATTTCACTGTTTGCTCTAAACATTTTCAGTGATCTCTAGCTGACACTATGATAAAAAGGACAACCAACTGTTTAGATAAAAGTTTGTATGACAAAACAAAGTAGTCAGTCTAGGAATATAGACATCAGTTGGAGAGTCAGAAAGAACCTGGTCTTAGGAATCCAAAACAGTATCAAGAACCCCACAGACATGGTTTGGAAAAACAGTAGGGCCAACTGGATTAAGTTTTTATTTATTGTGTGTATATTTACAATCACTTGATATGATGCCTTGTACATTGTAAGAATTCAAAGCATATTGTCTAAATGAATAAATTAGTGAATAAGTATATTTTATCCCTATTGAGTTGTTCAATGCCAGATCAAAGTTGTCATTCAGCCTATTTTTTACTTATGAATGAATGAATAAATCAGTGAATGGTATTTATTGGATCTGTGTGTGAATTCTAAACAGGTAAAATCTGAAAACATTATGGAAGAATAAATTATTTTCTGGAAAGCAATAAATTATTTGCCCACCTGTTCTAATAACCATGAACTTTTGCTTAACATTAATTTTGATTGTTGACTCTTCATAATGAATCACCTACTCAGCGTTCTCTTGTCTTTAAGTAGGCAATCTCAGTGATATGCTGGCTCAACCAATAAATAAAGAAAAATAAATATTAGATTTTCAGTTACTAATATATCCACAAAAAATTCAATTTGACATAAAAGGATATGAAAATTACAAAAACTCAAAAAAGCAGATTATGAAAGAAACTGAGAGACTGTTACCTAGATATACTTCAGGTAACCAAAAGCTTAAATGCATTTAATTCATGACCGGTTTCTAAAGGACAAAAGCAAAAAAGCAAAGAAAACACACTTCCTGAAAGACATACATGATAAATTTATTTCACATAATTAAAATAAATGTTCATATCTATTTTGATATTATAACTATAGAAATTAATCAAATCAAGAGACTGTGATGGTAGGAACAAAATTTTTCTATGGAAAAGGTATAAAATAGAACTGTCATCAAAGCATAAACACAAGATTGACAATACCAAATAGTATGACTTGATAATAATAAGACTTGGAATTTTAATGGTTAGGTTTTAGGGTCAGACAAATCTTTACTATAAATAAGTATATCATATAATCTGACACACTGAAGTACTTGCAATATAGTAGTTTCCTTTGAATTGACCAAATTCCATCTTATAAAAGTTATAGTCATCTGCCCTTACTACTATCTAACATAAATTCAAAAAGAATTCCTTCCTACTTTAATTTTCATGACTGTATAATTTCACCTTCTTATCTTGATTAGTTAAAAAAGAAATAGCAAGTTTTCAAAGTGATTAATTAACATCTTTAAAAATCATATGACTAATTGCGAAGAATGTTGCATGGGATAATATTCCCCAAATGTTTTTAAAAATAGGGTTCTATGAAGAAGTATACTTGAAAAATTCTATAACCTCTTTCTTGCAGATATAATACTAGAGGCACAGAACTACATTTATTTAATGTATTTATTGAGTCTACTATATATGAGTGTAATGAAGATCTGACACCATTTTTTGATGTTTGCCCATAGCTTTTCAGCTTCACCCCTAACCCCTTTCTCATAGCCCACAGCTATTATTGTCTATTTAATAGGAAATAAGATTAATAAGAAATAAAGTCTGTGTACTCCTTTTGGTACTGGTGGAAGAGTCAAACTACACAAGTCTGTCAATACATGGAAACTTACTTTCTCCAGCCCCAATTACAAAGAATACTTATAGCCAGTCACCTATCCCTACTATCTCAAAACTACTTTGGACCTGGTAGGGGTGCCTTGCTAAATCCGTGTTCTTTATCACTGGCTGAGAGCAACTTAGAATAAGTGTGGCCTTGACCTGAAAGCCACAGTGTATCCAAACTGCAAGAGCTGGCAACTGTCAATGATACCACCCACACCACTTTCTCTTGCAGAGCACTCCATGTCCATGCAACTGGGTTTGTTAGAGAGGTGTCAGTTGAGCTGATGGGCAAACATGGAACAGTGAGGCAAACCATAGATGAGGACAGCAGCAAGCTACTAACACTCTTAGGAACCAGGAGAAACAATGGCTTTAGTGGAGACAGAGCTGGGAACTCCAGGTAGGGAGGGGACCATGTGATAAATGTTGGGCTCATAGCAGAGAATCAGTGGTTCTGAGTGATATCTGCCAACGCAGAGAGGTGGGGAGGTGGAAAGCTTGTCTCTTCCTTGCTTTTTAGAATCTCCCTTCCATGCCTCTGATGTCATAAACTTAAATGGAAATTAATTGGCAAGGGACATTAAGGATTGCAAGTTCAGTACCCTGCAATACAGATACTGACCATAAAAATATATTTTTACTTGGTAGTGGAAAAAAAATAGATATAATACTCTTTGAATATTAGCTATTCTTTAAGCAACATAAATAATCATGCTGATTAATAAGAATTTTATTCACAAAAACATGTTGACAGCAGTCTGATAGTTTGGAGAGCATAGATCAAATCACAATTGGTTGCTTTAGACATGAACTTATGCATTTTAATTGAAATGTTGAAAATAGATCATGACTGATAGCTGCAATTATTGAGTGGATTGAATTTAAAAAAATCGTCAAAGGTATAAACCTTTTTTCAAACCTGACAACATAATATCCTTTAATTTAGAATCATGCCTCATAGCTGTATATTTTAAAAAATGACTTATTGCCACAGGCTGAACTGGTCAGTTCCTCGTACTGACATAAAGAAACATGTTAAGGGCACTGAAAATAATGGAGTTTTTAATCAAAGACTTATCGTTTAGTTACTCCTCCCAAATTAAATAAGTACCACACCCAAAAGACTTGAAATCTGTCCCCAATATGAGCAAATATATTTCCTTCTCCTCTGCCCTGATTCTTCTTCTGGCCAAGCTCAGAATGTGTGTGCAGGAGGTAGAGAGTCAGTACAGACATCTGTCCAGAACATGCTTACTATTCAGCTGTTACACCACGGCCTCTCGCCTCAAAATGAGAGAGGGCGAGATAGTGAAGTAGGAGGAACAGAGGCCCAGCATGCCAGCTTTGTGAGGTGCTAAAAATACGACAGTGGAAATGATGAGGCAGAAGATAAAAGACTATCCAGGTGTTGATGCTTTGGGGTGCTCAGAGCAGCCCTGATGTTAATGTCCACTACCCCCTTCACAGAGCTGTAATTGAGTGCCTGAAACAAGATTACAGGTTTGTCTCTTCTGGAAAAGGCATGGTATCCTCCCCCTGTGTGTGCAGTCTTTCAATTTCACCATTGGACAACCAAGTCCTGAGATCTTGCAGTGGTATTTTAATAGATCCCTTTGTAGAGGTCCGTTGTTAAACACTGGCTTGGAAATAAAAATGGGAAGGGGGTAAGATAATTTGCTGCACTTGTTGAGCTTAAAACAGGCAAAGTTATTTTACTTTTACTTTTATTATATTGAGGATACTGTAGCCTGTTCTCTGATGGGGTGCTATTTAACTATGTCACCCACCTCTACTTTGATGGCTGAGCCTGAATGAGGGGCCCTTTGATGAAGACGTGAATGCAGTTATAAAAGGGGGAGGATAGTCCTGCTGCCCATCTGCTTATAGCCAACAGGCAGCAATACAGAGAGACTGCAGAAAGCTTCCCTTTTCCTTTCTTATTATTCTCTTTGTAAGACCATTAAAAGTAACAGATGAAGTTAAAGGCAGTAAAATTATCACAGCAGGGCCTCCCGTGGTGGCACAGTGGTTGAGCACTGGGCTGCAAAGCTGCCCGCAGCCTCTGCAGTGCAGGTTCGATCCCCATCTGCCGGAGAGGGTCCCACATGGCATGACAGACCTCTCCTACTGCACCTGCTGCTCCCCTCAGCAGTGTGTTTCGTCAGTCTGCCTGTTCTTTTTCCCTGTTCTGGCTCTGGTGAATTCTCTCAACCTCCTGCACTTCTAACTGTACCCAGTGCTTGTGTAAATAAATAAATAAATCTATTAAAAGAAAAGTATCACTACAAATGTTTCAGCAGATATCTACAGAAATGGGAAGTGGAAAGACCACAGAGGTACACAAAGAAAACACACTGACAGAAAACCTGGGTCCTAACACCTGCTTTGAATCTCCTTGGGACGTTTACTAAAATGGAATATAGTAAACCTGAAAAGTAAATCACTCACAGCCCCAGACAGAACAAAAGAAATGTTTGGTAAGGAAACTTCACAGACTGTGACCTTCTGTTGCGCTCATCCAAAGCATACACGCCACGGCGGAAAATAAATGATAGACAGCAATTGGCAGGCAAGTCCCAGAGGACTAAACAACATAATGTCATGTAGTTTGTAAAGGCATGGATATTTGTCACCATAGCCCGCATGAAGGACACACACTGTGCAAACTTTTATTGATGTCTTCCATTACTTTGGTGTACGTGACTTCTTTCCCCTCATCCATTATGTAGAGTAGCCTGGCATTTGGCAAGTTGCTTAATAAGGGTTGCAGTCAACTATGCAAATACTTAATTATCATGGCACACACCTACACATTATAACTTCCTTTATGAATTTTCTCCTACTTTAAAATTACTGAAACTTAACCTTCCTCCCACACTACAAGGGAGAATCCTGGCCTGGTAATATGCAGGAGATATGACCTGTTTTAATAAGAATACAGTTGCCATCCTACTGAACTGAAAGACCCATTATGGTTTTCAGAAGTAAGCAATGAAATGGTTACAAGTTAGGGCCTCCCTGGTGGCTCAAGGGATTGAGTGCAGCCCTGTGAAGGGGTTCTCTGCGGCACAAGTTCAATCCTTGGCCAGAGAGCCACCCATATGGCACAGCAGACCTCTCCTGACTCACCCACTGCTCTCCTCAGCAGAGTACTTCAGTCTATCTGCCTGCTATGTTCCCTACTCGGTCTCTGGTGAATCCGCTCACCTCCCGCACCTCTGGCCTGTACCCCAGTTCTTGTAATCATAAATAAAAATAATTTTTTTAAAAAAGGAAATGGTTACAAGTTATTGAGTTTGTTTATCAGTGTGTTTATTAGTCTAGACAATAAGTCAACTCTTAATCATAAGTGAGTTTTAAAAAATATGATCATTTTTAGTGATATTTTGCTACTTCTTTGCATTTTTTTTTAATATTAAATTTTATTTTTATATTCCCCGATACAATTGCAAACGCCCCATTCTGACCCCAATCCTTCCCCTCCCGCCCCCCACCCCCCAAAAGTGTCTCTGGTTCACAGTTTTTTGTTGATTTTGATTTTCACTTTCTTATATTCATTTTCCTGGTCCCTTATTTAAGTTTTCTAGATTCCTGCTATGAGTGAGACCATCCGGTATTTTTCTTTTCTTTTTGGCTTATTTCACTGAGCATGATCCCTTCCAGTGCCATCCATGTTGCTGCAAATTGCATGTGTTTATCTTTTTTGAATGCTGAGTAATATTCCATGGTATATATGTACCACATCTTCTTGATCCAGTCATCTATTTTGGGGCATTTGGGTTGTTTCCAAAGCTTAGCTATTGTAAACAGTGCTGCTATAAACATAGGAGTGCAGGTGCTCTTTGGAATTGATGTTTCTGTGTCCTTTGGGTAAATACCTAGGAGTGGAATTGCTGGATCATATGGAAACTCTATGTTTAGTAGGTCCAGAAATCTCCACACAGCTCTCCATAGTGGTTGGACCAGTTTGCACTCCCACCAACAGTGCACAAGAGTTCCTTTTTCTCCACATCCTCGCCAACATTTGTTGTTGCTAGTTTTTTTAATATGTGCCATTCTCACTGGTGTGAGATGGTATCTCATGGTAGTTTTGATTTGCATTTCCCTGATTACAAGTGATGTTGAACATTTTTTCATATGTCTGTTGGCCATTTGCATTTCCTCTTCAGAGAAGTTTCTTTTTAGCTCTTCTGCCCATTTTTTGACTGGATTATTTTCTTTGTTGTTGCTGAGTCTCATCAGCTCTTTGCAGATTTTTGTGATCAGTCCTTATCATTAGTGTTGGGTGCAAAAATGTTCTCCCAGTTGGTGGGGTTTCTCTTTGTTTTTGTTATTGTCTCTTTTGCTGTGCAGAAGCTCTTTAATTTGATGTAGTCCCAGCTGTTTATCTTTGTCTTCACTATCACTGCTTTGGGTGATGTGTCTGTAAAGATGTCTTTGATGTGCAAATCCCGTAGTGTTTCGCCTATATTTCCTTCTATGTATTTTATGGTTTCAGGTCTTATGTCTAGTTCTTTAATCCATTTTGAGTTGATTTTTGTGTATGGTGTGAGGTAGTGGTCAAGCTTCATTCTTTTGCATGTAGCGACCCAGTTTTCCCAGCACCATTTATTGAACAAACTTTCTTTGCTCCAATGCATAGTCTTTGCTCCTTTGTCAAATATTAGTTGACCATAAATCTGTGGGTTTATTTCTGGATTTTCTATTCGATTCCATTGGTCTGTATGTCTGTTCTTGTTCCAATACCATGCAGTTTTGATGATTATGGCTTTGTAGTATAGTTTGAAGTCTGGGAGTGTGATGCCTCCATTTCCTTCTTTTTTTTTTCAGTAGAGCTTTGGCTATTCGGGGTTTTTGGTGATTCCATATGAATTTCATCAATAATTGTTCTATTTCTTTGAAGAATGCCATTGAGATTTTGACTGGAATAGCATTGAATCTGTATATTGCTTTTGGTAGGATGGCCATTTTAATAATGTTTATTCTTCCAATCCATGAGCAGGGGATGTCTTTCCATTTCATTGTGTCTTCTTCTATTTCTTTTAACAGTGTTTTATAGTTTTTTTTGTATAGGTCCTTTACCTCTTTTGTTAGATTTATTCCCAAATATTTGATTTTTTTTGTTTCGATAATAAAAGGGGTGGTTTTTTTGATTTCTTCTTCTTCAGATTTATTGTTTGTGTATAGGAAGGCTACTGACTTTTGCGTGTTGATTTTGTATCCTGCCACTTTACTGAATTGA